AAGAGGCAGGATGCCTTCTTTCCAAAGTCAGCCCATGCCCATTTGAAGTATTTTCTTTAGGAAATGTCAGAAATCCTTCTCTCTTATATATCTTCAATTTTTGTTTTATTTCTTGACCCTTCCCCTTAAAAGAGAGTCACAAAGGCAGCATTGTGCAGTGGAAGGAACTTAAGACTTAGAGTAGGGTTCTGCCTCCAGGCCTTGGACAAGATCCCTAAAATTTAGCCTCAGTCTTCACCTCCTTAAAAGGGAGATACCATAATCTACTCCACGGGAAAAATAAAAAGGTAAAGAAGTACACAGCGTGCCTAGAATGTGTCTTGTCATAAAGTAGCTCCTCTGTTCTTCATGTTTTCATGTTAATAATGTATTAATAATAATTATGATGATAATAATAATGACACACCTGTCTCTCCAGCTACCTGAATCTTTGTCTTCTTCCAAATTTGGTATATTCTCAGCTTCTTCCCTTTCTCTTGGGTGCCCATTTCAATCCGATTTTACTCAAAAGCAACTTTTCTCACTTAATTAGCATCAGTAACGTTCCACTAGTCAAATCCACTCAACGAGTTTTAGACTTCTCTGCGTATATTTGATACCATATAACTGAAATAGCTCTGTGTTGTGTGTGTATGTGTTTGCACAATATTGAAATTCTCCTCTCTTCCTTTTAGAACATTGCTGTCTCCTGGTTTCCCTCACAATTTTCTGATCATGCCTATTAGTTCCTTTGTATTCTGCAATTTTAATGTTTTTAAAGATTCTGTCCTTTGATTGCATATTCACCCACTTAATTTATCTGGGCAGAAAAGCTCTAGATTTTAAAGCTCTACTACCTAGGACCTAATGCTTGCCATATTTAATCAACATTTTCTGCTAATAATCTGTGTTTCAAATACATATTTCTGTTGACCTACTGGACATCAAAATGATATCACAAGGAACTTCAAAATCCATGTAACTCAAACTACATTCATTTTTCCTGCTTTCCCCCTCTCTTCCTTTTGCTTTTATTACTGACAACGTTAGCCACTTAAAGTGTTCAAGGAATAAAACTAAAATTATCCTAAATGATTCCTTTTTCATAGTTGCTATATATGTTCTTCAAGTCCATCAGTTCTCTCTCCCAAACATCCTTTGACCCTATTCTTTTCTATTCCTTTGTTACCGCTGTCTTCTTTTGAAATAAGCTAATGGTATCTCATCTATTTTAGTAGCCTCCTAACTTTCCTCCCTGCCTCAGGTAAATTCTATCTTCCAATTCATCCTTTGCAAAAACGCCGTAACTTTCTAGAGTACAAATGGGATCCGATCAATAATAAGAATAGCTTTAGTGAGGCAAAATAAATTAAGTTCTACAGATCCACCATACAGCATAGTACCTATGGCTAACAACACTGTATTGTATACTTAAAATTTACTAAAAGTGTAGATTTTATGTAAGTATCCTTATCTACCCAGCCCCAACACACCCCAATAATAAAGGAGATGGGAACCCAAGCTCTGTAAATAATTTAAAAGGAGTTACACGTAAGAGCTAAGTCAATACATGGAGCACGTAGCGTACGTTGGTTAGACTGAAAAGGCAGGACATCTTGAACCAGGGGCTTACAGGTTACAGGTGGGTTTACAGATTCTTTGATTTGTAATTGGTTAAAGAAATGAAGCTTTGTCTAAAGGCTTCACGTGTTTTAACTGAAGGTAAAGATGTCTGTCAATCAGAGATAATAGCCACTGGACATTTACCTAAACTCAAGAGATCTGTTAAGTAAATTGACATTCTGCAGGTGTGATTTAACTTTGCCTTGCGTAGCCTTAGGCCTGTTAATATTTGATATCTTATTGTTTCAAAAAAAAAAATCTCCAAAATGGAGAGGGCATTATGAGATGTGTCTGACCTCTACTCCCTCTGGCCAGCAACTCAGCTTTAAGATTTTTCTAGGGTCCCCTTGGCCAAGAGGGGGTCCATTCAGTCAGCCAGGGGCTTAAGATTTTATTTTAGTTCACAGTGAGAAAGTGCCTTTTAGGGCCATGTTAATAAATGTACCTTTTTGCTATCGCCTATACCAGCCACTGTTGTATTTTGAATTATGTGCAAAACTCTCAGAACAATGCCTGCCATTTGATAAATGCTATATAATTGTTAGGTTTTTTTTTTTTTTTAAACTACTTTATTGGCCAGGTGTGGTGGCTCACACCTGTCATCCTAGCACTCTGAGAGGCTGAGGCGGGCAGATCGTTTGAGCTCAGGAGTTCGAGACCAGCCTGAGCAAGAGCAAGACCTTGTCTCTACTAAAAATGGAAAGAAATTAACTGGACAACTAAAAATCTATGTAGAAAAATAGCCTGGCATGGTGCGCATGCCTGTAGTTCCAGCTACTTGGGAGGCTGAGGGAGAGGATCTTTGAGCCCAGGAGTTTGAGGTTTCTGTGAGCTAGGCTGATGCCACACTCACTCTAGCCTGGGCAACAGAGTGAGACTCTGTCTCAGAAAAAAAAAAGAAGAAGCTACTTTATTGAAGTGTGATTGACATGTAAGAATCTGTCCATATTTAATGTATACAGTTCCATGAGTATGGAATAGTATACACCTGTGAGAAGCCATTCACCACTATCAAAGCCATAGACATATGCAGTCACCTCCCAACTTCCTACCCCCT